AGGCGTTTTTAATCTTTGCAGGAGCAGAAACCCTCATCTTTCTCCCTGGGAGTGACTGGTGGACTCGTATTACCCACTTTGTGGTTCACAGCCCCATGCTTATTCTACAGAGAGACCTTTAAAAATCAAGTTCGGACAAAAAAAAATCAAGTTAGGGACTGAAGACAAACTGTAAGGACAAAGTCTGGGCTCCTGTACTCTTCATGCCTATTTGGAGCTACTTCTGCTTTCAGTGTTCTCTGACTAATCAAACCCAGGGCAACAATTTACCCAGGTATGCTTCTGCACCCTCCATGTGTGATGATCTTAAGACAGTATCAAACTTATAAAAATTATCTGCTGCTTTCTTCTTTTTTTTTTTCTTTCGTTAGGATCCTGCCATTTTGGAATTACATAAACTAACGTCTCTACACTCCAAAGGTAGTAACAGTTTCATGTTCAAATTTGCAGTTTAACACAACACTCTGTTAGTATAACTAAACCCTTGTTTTTGTTAGGTGTCTACAAATTAGTTGTCTCATAGCAACCATATGTAGAGCAGAAGAAAACACTGCCCAGGCCTGTCCATTCTCACAATCATTCCTATGTTAGAGCTGTGCCAGTTCATTCTTTGAGGGTCTTCATCTGCAACAATATTGTTGTTGTTAGGTGCTGTGGTTCCAAGTCATAGAAAACTTATGCATAACAGAAAAAAACACTACCCAGTTCTGCACCATCTTCACAACTGTTGCTATGTTTGAGCCATGATATAGCCACTTCTACAACTATGATGCTGTTGGTAAGTGCTGTTGAGTCTATTCCAGCTCGTAGCAACCCTGTACAGGGTTTCCAAGGAGCGGGTAGTGAGCTTGAACCACCAACCTTGCAGTTCAAACCAACTTCATGATCCAGCACATTAACCCACAATGCAACACCAGCAACTATTGTTATTAAGTGCTGTTGAGTCGTTTCCAACCCATAGCGACCCTGTATAGGGTTTCCAAGGAGCAGCTGGTGAGCTTGAACCACCAACCTTGTGGTTCCAATGACTTTGCAGTCCAGTGCATTAGCCCACAGCACTATACCAGGACTCCATGAGGAACTACAGCAATGACTAATTCCTCAGCCACAGAAAGCTATAATAGAATCTAATCTTTGTGTGAGTTGTTGCAATGATAGTCCCTCATTGTTGTTGTTGTTAGGTGCCATTGAGTTGGCACTGACTCATAATGACCCTATGCACAACAGAACGAAACTGTCTAGTCCTGGGCCAACCTCACAATCGTTGCTACACCTAAGCCCATTGCTGCTGCCACTGTGCCAATCCATCTTGTTGGGAGTCTTCCTCTTTTCTCCGACCCTCCACTTTACCAAACATGATATCCTTCTCCAGTGACTATTCCCTCCTGACAAAATGTCAGAAGTATGAAAGACAAAGTCTGGCCAACCTGGTTTCCAAGGAGCACTTTTTCTGTACTTCTTCTAACACAGCTTCACTTGTTATTTTGGCAGCCCAAGGTACTTTCAATATTCTTCTTCAACACCATAACTCAATGCATCATTTCTTCTACAGCTTCCATATTTACTGTCATGGCATGGATCAGGCACACCTTAGTCCTCAAATTGACATCTTTGTTCTATAATACTTTAAAGAGGTCTTGTGCAGCAGATTTGCCCAATACAATATGCCCTCTGATTTCTTGACTGCTGCTTCCATGAGTGCTGATGGTTGCTCCATGCAAAAGCAAGTCTTTGACAACTTCAAGCTTTTCTCTACTTATATGGATGTTGTTAACTGGTACAGCAGTGAGGATTTTTGTTTTCTTTACATTGAGGTACAACCCATACCAAGGGCTGTAGTCTTTGATCTTCATTAGTAAATATTTTATATCTTCTTCACTTTCTGCAAGCAAGGTTGTATCATTTGCATAGCACAGGTTGTTAATGAGTCTTCCTCCAATCCTGATGCCATATTTTCTTCATATAATCAAGTTTCTTAGATTGTGTGCTCAGCATACACACTGTATAAATATGGTGTAAGAGTACAACCCAAGGTAATATTTTGGCTCTTATGGGCTTGTTTTAATATTCTTCAGCTTCAGTCTGAACTTACATATGGGCAATTCATGGTCTGTTCCATAGTCTGTCCCTGACCTTGTTTTGGCTGATAATATGGTATTTTTATGGAGTCCTGGTGTGGCGCTGTGGGTTAATACGCCAGCCTGCAAAGCCATTTGGGCTGCAGGGTCGGCAGTTTAAGTTCACCAGAAGCTCCTTGGAAGCCCTACACAAGGTTGCTATGGGTCAGAACCTACTCGATGGCACTGAACAACAACATGACACTTTTCCACATCTCCTTCCACAGATGCACTCAATTTGATTTCTGTGTTTTCCATCTGGTGAAGTCCATGTGTATAGTCATCTTCTATGATGTTTAAAAAAGGTATTTGCAATGAACAAGTCATTAGTCTTACAAAATTCTATCAAGTGATCTTCAGGATTGTTCCTATCACCAAGGCCATATTTTTCAACTATGAACCTTCCTCTTTGTTGCCAGTAATTATCAATACATCTTGATTGTATGTTTGATCAATTTCAGACTGAAGAAGTTGGTAGAATTCTTCAATTTCATCATCACTGGCTTTAGTGGTTGGTGTGTAAATTTGAGTAATAGTGGTAATAACTGGTCTTCTTTGTAGGTATATGGATATTATCCTATCACTGACAGCATTGTACTTCAAGACAGAACTTGATGTGTTCTTTTTGATGATGAATGTGATGCCATTCCTCTTCAATTAGACATTCCTGGCATAGTAAATCATGTGACTGTCAGATTTTAAATGGCCAACACCCATCCACTTCAGCTCATTAATGCCTTTGATCTCGATGTTTATGTGTTCTATTTCATTTTGGACAATTTCCAATGTTCCTAGATTCATACTTCACACATTCCATGTTTCGATTATTAATGGATGTATGCAGCTGTTTCTCTTCATTTTGAGTTATGCCCCATGAGCAAATGAAGGTCACATGGGCTTTACTCCAGTCACATCATCATGGTCAACTCTATTTCTAGGAGGCAGCTCTTCTCCAGTCACATTTTGAGCGCCTTCCAACCTGAGGGGCTCATCTTCTGGCACTATATCTGACAATGTTCTGGTGTTCTTCATCATGTTTCAAAATGCAATATTCTGGTACTGACAGTGTTCCACTACTATTCATAAGGTTTTCAATGACTAAATATTTCAATTAGTCTGTCTCTCCTTCTTCCTAGTCTGTTTCCATTTGGGAACTCATCTGAAACCTGTCCACTGTGGCTGACCCTACAGGTATTTAAAATACCCATGGCATAGCTTCCAGAATCACAGCAACACACAAGACACCACAGTACAGCAAACTGACAGACAGATGGTGGGACAGTTCCACTGGTGGGGGCCATTATGGTTACCAACTTATATAAGCATAGTTTTAGATACAGCACACAGTTTCTCATTTGGCTCTCAGTGGTTTTGACTGGAAAGAGAGAAAGAATTATACTTCTTTTGCAAGATAAAAAAAAAAACTGAGACTTAAGGAAATCATTTAGACCTACCATTGCCAAGCAAGAGAAAAAGCCTGGAAACAAATCCAGAATTCCAAATCTTTTTTCCACCATTCAGTCTTCTTCTTCTATCCCCTTGCCTACTTTGTTGACTACTGCAACTTGTGCTGAGGGGAAGCTTTCACATACGCAAAACTGGTCCTAGGGTCCTGATTCTATATGGGTCTCAATCTGCCCTACTCTAGTATAACTTCAAGTAGTAATGTCTATTGGTGAACTACTACATGCCACAGATTTTCTAATTAACAGTTGTAACACAGACTAAAAACCAAACCAAACCCACTGCCAATGAGTTGAATCCAGCTCATAAGAACCCTGTTTAGGTTTCTGAGATTGCAAATCTTTACAGGAGCAGAGTCTCATCTTTCTCACTCAGAGTGGCTGGTGTGGTTGAACTTGGTGAGTGCTGACCTTGAGATTAACAGTCCAGTGAATACTTAACCTACAGACCACCAGGGCTCCTTAATGAAGATGAAAAAGATTAGAATTTCACATATCCAGTGATTTCTATTAGTCATAGACCAAAATGCTTTGTGTATGAGAAGCTTTGGACATACGGTATTAAGAAAATTTAACTGGTGGTTTATTGTTGTTAAGTGGTGGCTTGTTGTTGTTAAGTGCCATGGGGTCGGCTGTAACTCATAGCAACCCTGTATAGGGTTTTCAAGAAGCGAATGGTGGGTCTGAACCACCAACATTTTGGTTAGTGTTTATTCTATAGCACCACATCAGAACTGGTGGTGAGGGGTTTGTATCTGAAAATTGCTAGTTTCAACTCAAGAGTTCCATATTTAAATGGAAAGAAGAGATGACTGACTGACTCTGCCTTGCACCTGTTGGGCAGGTGTCCACAACACACTTGACATGGGAAATTGATCAGTGAAAAGGTTGTCTCTCACACATCATTCTGGTCATTTAGGAAACGTGGGTACCTCAATCATTCTATTTGCCTTATTTATATCTGGTCTTTGTCCGATCTAGCCACTAAATTTTTGATGGTTTTAAACACCTGCCTCTAAAGTGTTTTAAACACACCTGACAGCATAATTGATTCACTGAAGTTTTTATGAGTCATCAATTACTGGGGTAGATCAGTTCTCAAGCTTTTTTGTTTTGTTTTGTTTTTTAAAGGAACTATCTGCTCCTAATAGACACTGCAGCGTAAGGAATAAAATACTGTACTTTGTACTCGCTAGAAATGAGGTATGTGCCAAGAAATTTTTACAACAATCCCTATAGCAACAAAATAAAAGACCCCTCGGTTTGGGGTCTTTGTCGTAGAGAGAAGATAGAGAACCAGGATCACTCGGCAGATAATTATCATTTGGAAGGATCTGGAGAGAGCACAGCATTTCCCAGCCCGTCCCTAAGCAGGGAGGTCCCCAGCCGGCACCCAGCCCTCGTCCCGCCGCTGCATTACCGACGCCAGCGTCTTCTCCGGCTCTTCCCTCTGCGCCTCCTTCAAGGCCGCAGTCACTGCCGCTGTCGCCAGGGCCCCTAAGAGATCTTCGCGTTCGTATTGGGCGACCCGCGCTCCGGTGTTGGGATTTAGTGGGACTTGGTGGCTGGAAGCCACCAATTTAGCCTCCCGGTGCGAAGCATCCATCACCGCGCCGCCGAGGCCTCAGCGCCCGCGCTGGCCCTGGGCTGGTAAGCTGGTGTGGCCTCCGGTGACCCGGCGACTTCTTTCTTGGGCAGGCAGTTACGAGGGGCGCGGTAACTAGGGACGCTACAGGGCCCGTGAGGGACCAAAAGTAACACAAAATACGCGCTCGCTGCTGGAGACTGGGATAGCAAGCCTACTGCCTAGACTGACTGTCCTAATTCTGTTTGGCGGATCCCAAGGTTGGCGGGAGGAAACTATAGCCTCGTCCCCTTCTTCGCTCACAGCTTAAACAAATACCTCTCCTATTGTAGTGGTGAATCAACTCGTTTTGTGACGAAAAGAGCACATTTTCATTAATTGAAATATGCTAGGGGATAAAAAGAAACAATATTTTAGAAGGAGACGACAGCAGCCGAGAACAAAAGCAGTGGGTATCGGTGTGTGGCAGTTTCAGAACATTAGTAAGGTTTGCATCCACCTACCTAACATGGCTCCCCAGGAGCCAGAGAATGCAAACGAGTGTAGTAAATTCTATTCTGATTGATTTGGGAACTGTCAGTAATTGGCCAATCAGAAGGAGATTACTAGCTGAGCGGCTGGCGTATGACCTGACCAATAAAAAGCTAGTGTTGGGTGCAGGCGATCTACCTACTAATGAGTGACCGTGACGTGAACAAGACGTTTGCAGTTTGTATCCCGTCAGCTTGAAGGCGCGATTGTCCAATAGTGACCACATCGCATCTCCGACTCGTACCCAACAACTCCTGTATTTATGCATTTCAAATGGCGTCTTCCTTCTGCGCCACGTGTTTGTAATAGAGGCCGAACTAAAAAATAGCTGCGCGGCACAGTCTCAGCTACCTGTTAAGTGCTGTCGAGTGGGTTTGCAACTCATAATTACACTTTATAGGGTTTCCGAGGCTTTAAAAATCTTTGCCATAGCAGAAAGCCTAGTCTTTCTTCCGCGGAGCAGATGGTGCATTCTAACCGCCGACCTTGTAGTTCTCAGTCCAGTGTTTATCCTACAGAGCCACGCATTCCCCACCTGCTACCTATTAAACCCCGACCCTACATGGCTGATCCTGCCCCCAACCCTACATAGCTGATCGGTGTCATCGAGTCATGACATTTTCTCGGTTGTGCAGCGTTCATGCTCTAAGATCTCGGTCCTTCTTGCCAAGCCTTTCATCCTTTGGTCGCCTGTTTGGAGTGTTTTTGTTAAGTGCACTCGAATCGGTTTGACTCATAGCAACCCTGTATAGGGTTTCTGAGGAGTAGTTGGTGGGTACGAACTAGCAGCCACATGGTTAGCAGTCCAGAGCTTATCCTACAGCGCCACTCAGTGTAAGCACCTGCAAAATCCCTCACGTCTCCATTTCCTTTAGGCTTTTGTATGTTTGGGCAGATCATCTGTTTGGCAAACTGGAACAAATGTTGATAGGATTTGGAACCTAAGCTGATGTCTGTGAGTGCAGGACAGCTAATTATTATGGCCCCTCTGGACAAATGTCTCCATTCTGTGATATATTTTTAATCCTAGCCTCTATACCTATGATTGCTCCTTGGAAGTCAGGATAGACAAACTTCATCTTTCATACCTTGGACATATTGTCAGGAGGGACCAGTCACTGGAGAAGGAGATCATGCTTGGTAAAGTGGAGGGTCAGAGAAAAAGAGGAAAACCCTCAAGGAGATGGATTGGCACAGTGATGGCAGAGATGGGCTCAGGTGTAGCAACGATTGTGAGGTTGGCCCAGGACCCGGCAGTGTTTCATTCTGTTGTGCATAGGATCCTATGACTCAGTACGGACTCAATGGTGCCTAACAACAATAATATGCCTATGAATTATGAACCCATTTTTAAATGGGTTGCTAAAGAGTAAAGATTAAGGTGGGGATAAGAAATAAAAGTTATCCTGTATCTAAGTATTAAAAATGCCCCTACCTTAGTAGTGGATGTAACTTCAAGTCACCACCCTTTGTTTCCCTTGGAGACATGGTCTGACTCCAATTTATAAGCCTGCTTTGGAAAAGCTTGTTCCCTCTTGCCCTGTATCTTGCATCTGGCTCATGACATCTGAACTCCAGTTCCCATCACCTGACCTGATTCTCCAGCTATCACAGCCTGCTCTTACCAACAGCGTGTCTGACCTGCCAGTTTGGGTTCCTCAGTTCTTGAGACTATGTAGGTGAGAAGATTCCTCCAGACTGATCTCAGAAGTGCAGATTTGCGATTTGCCAGCCTCCACAATTTCATAAGCCATTCCTTTAGACAACTGTAAGCTTTGTGGACTATTGCAGCGTATTTCAGAATCCTGGGATTTGAGGGAAGGGAGGAGTGGTGATGCTTATCAAGGACTATGGAGGAACATAACATGTCGGAAGGGTCGAACAGTTGGGATAGCTTTATCCTCCAACACATAGGGACCAGCCTTGTGTTGATTTTTTTTTTTTTTTTTTAAGGTTTTTATTGTGGATTGAGTGAAAGTTTACAGGGCATATCATCAGTTTCACATTCAACCATTCATATGACTTGTTTCATTACATTGATTATAATCCCCTAACCTCTTTATAATCTCTCTATCCTCTTTAGCTTTTTGGGGTGGGGGGTGGGATTTTGCCTTTTTGGAATTCATAGTCTCGGCTTTTAGGGAAGGTTTTTACATTTATCTGTGGATATCCAGGGCTCATGTATGCGATTACTAACAAGTATAACTGAATAATCAGATGAGGGACAGTTTGCTATGTCTGCTAGGTGGCTAAAGTCTGATCCACAGAGTCTATGGTTTGGACAGTCTGCAACGCTTGGGCCCACAGGGACTTGAACTCCTGCTTGTGTTGATTTTTATAAAAGAAATTATTCATGCAGGAAGGTATGGATACTCCAAGTGACCAGGATAGGGACTTTGTACTTGCATATGTCCTCTTGGAATCTGTTGTAAGCCCAACCTACACAGATCTGGTTGGAAATTTAAACAAAGCAACAAAAAGAAAAGAGTGTGGAGAACCATGTTTACATGAGAAGGATAACTTTACCAGGAATATTCTAAATTAGCAGCCATCTATCCACATAGCAAATTATTGAATGATGCAGAGGGCATCAAGAAAAGATGGAAGGAATACACAGA